TAAACCTATAGTCACCAAAAGCTTGTTTAACTCTCCACAGGACCTGGTAGGGCTGATAATACAATTTGTGTTATTGTTTTGAGATGCAGATGCTCAGAGAACGTCTGGTAAGTGGAATTAACAGGGAAAAAGTAAAGTAAACAGAATTGTTATATGTTGTTATTGTCTGGTGCCATCCAGTCGGCTTCTATCCCTAGCAACCCTATGTGCAACAGAACGAAATACTATTAACTGCTAAATAGACAACATGTATAAAATATAAACATCAATCAGATAGAAAAAAAAAAATCTGCTAACAGCCTTCAATTTATGATCAGCATTCTACCCAGGAGGAAAAAGGATTTATTAGCCCGAACTTCCTCCAAATGTCCACAGACCCAATCCAGAAAGCTCAAGATGTAATCATTAACTAATCCACTGTATGAACTGATCTTATTCGAGCGACTTAAACTTGACAAACTTGCCTATTTGAGATTAAAGGCCATTCAAAACTGCAGTGCTAACAACCAACAGGGCTGCTACAGAAATTGAAACCAAAGTCTACAATCCTGACTTTTTCTGCCCAAAAAACCCACATGATTAATAACCAAACAAACTGACTTGACTTAGTCACTTTCTGATATGTGAGACCCATCATGAGAATGAGAAAGTCAAAGGTCAAATGGTTAAAAAAAGGAGATGGGCCAAGGTTTGCCCCAATTTGATCGTCTCCAATCAAAACCAGAGAGCCACAGTTTCTCTTCTTTCTTTCCACAAACACTTTTTGAGAGCCTACTATGTGCAAGGCAGCATGTTACACACGGAAGACACCTGTTGTGAGCAAAATCAGTTATGGTCTCCACCTTTGCAGAACACACACAGCAGCCCTGGAAAACATTTCCTGTGGAGTCCTAAAAGCTGTAAAATGTGGAAAGTGCTGCGAAGAGGGAAGCCTAGAGCGGCAGATCCGACTACTCAGAGGTCAGAAGTCAGAGCTTCACAGGCCAAGATGCAAGGTAAAAGTTTCGTGCTGAGTCATTTGTAATTAGAGAGCCCTTCGAAAAAAACTTAAGTCTTCAAAACCCAAGTCATCAATTTTGCTGACTGAAATGAAAAACTGCATGTTTTTCAAGGATACACGTAAGTATATTGATTTGTCTCCAAATTGATAACTGGGCCACATGCCAACCGGTTCATGCGATTCTGGACATCATGAAGTCACTTTCTAGAGGAGGTCTGGCTCTTTCAAGATGGTGGTGACTGGGAAAGAGGAAGAAAGATAAGGCCATGGAAAGAGGATACAGAGAAGAGAATGGAAGGAATGTTTTCAAACTAAAGGATTTAAGTTTTCTGGAAATGGGATTAAGCACCACATTCTAGTGTGAACAATTAATGAGAAGACCTGAATGGGTAGCAAAAGGCAAAAACAAAAAATGTTCCCCAACTGTTCAGTTTTAAAATTGAACCTTAAAATTACTTTCATCACTGGAGTTTAAATATTGGTCATGCAGCCATTTTGATAATAGTTGGCATCAGAAAGTGATGTACAGTAATACTAAAATACAAAAGGATATTATGTTCCTTAGGCCAGAAACTGGGAGTTCTGGTAGCATAGTGCCCAAGGCACTTGACTGCTAACCAGAAGGCTGGCGGTTCAAACCCACCAGCCACTCCCTGGAAGGAAGATGGGGCAATCTACTTCCGTAGTGATACTGCCTCAGAAACCCAAGGAGGGGTCTCTATG